GTACCTCCTAATGGGAATTTCCAGAACCCATATGCCCATTTGTTAGAGTCTCTGACCACTTGATACTGCTATTTTCAAAATATGCTTTTCTTCAAAGACCAGGGTGCTTTTTTATATGTGCCCAGCATTCAGTTCCTGGTCTATTACAAATTCCAATTTTAAATTGTCACCTTCTTTCAGGGTTGCCATCATTTCTACTTTATTAAGCAATCCGTCCTTGTCTATTAGGAGTGCAGAATCATGGTTTTTCTCACTGTTTCATTCTGGAAGATAGAACTTGTCAGAAGGCAATAGAGAATTTATCAGCAGTACATGATGAGCAGAATATGTTCAAATAATTGGCATCCATCATGATACCACCATTTTATATCTGAGCCAGTTTTGTCATTTCTATTAAAAATATGTCATCTACATCTTTAGCTCAGTGAGCACTCTGATTACATGGCCATTAATGTGATGTTCTTTCTCCCTTTAAACCCACTTTGAATATACTTTACCATGTTTCACTGTTCACTCAGTGGCTTCCCAGGCATGCATATTTTTTTCATGTAGAGTGTTCTTTCATCAGCTTGTTTTCACTGGATGTTGTAGAATGTCCATTGGCATAAGATCCCATCCACCATATTAAATAATGTAACTGTATTTACCAACCTTTTTGAGGGGTGTAGATTCATTAACACCCACTCCCTATTTCAGTATGTGCATTCTGTGTAGACTTCTGAGGCCCTGTGTACTTGTTTCAGGCCTTTTCAACTTTTATGCCCATTTCACCTATTTTTAATATCATCCTTCAGCAGGAAGCTTGAGAAGCTAGGTACCTACTTGCACCTTTGGATTTTTTGTAATATGTATTTTTTGCCCCTTCTTGCTCTTTTGGATTTCGGGGAAGGAAACCCTGCATGCTGACCTACCTACTTCTCCTTATTTCCCCTTCAACGTTTCTACTCTGTTAGTATCAGAGCCCCTCTGCATCTAACTTGTGAACTGTTTCTGTTATTCATTGCCTCCCTCTTACGCTTTTTGAGTTTTCCACAGCTCTTTGCTAATTTGGAGTTACTTAGTGTTTTGTTTTTTATTTTAATGATTCTAAACATTACTGGTTGTTGCTGTCTGCTTTTTCATATATTGGCAAAAGAAGAATGTTCTTCCTAAACCTTTTGAAACTCAAAATGATTTGGGAGAAAAATCTGGCATGCAAGCCCTCCCCTTCCTCCCACAGAGCCCTCACATTATAAATCACAGGAGGTTTGCAGGGTGCGGCTTTCTTTACTAAGTCTTCAGGGTTGGGCCCTTTTTTTGTGGCCTTAACGGATTGAGGTTGTCACTAAAAAAAAAAAAAAAAAAAAGCATAAAAACCAAGAAAGTTATTGCCCTGCCATGCCTCTGTTTCCTTACCTGAGCTACAAATAATGTTTGCCAAATAAAAACAAAAGCATTGGGCCTCACTGGTGGCGCAGATGGTTGAGCGCAGCGCTTTGAAGCTGTCCGCAGCCTCTGCAGTGCCAGTTCGATCCCTGCCAACCTTGGAGCAACCTGCACGGCGAGCAGACCTTTCCTGTCTCGCCCGCTGCTCCCCTCAGCACTGTATTTCGTCAGTCTGCCTGTTCTGTCCCCTGCTCTGTCTCTGGTGAGTCCTCTCACCCTCCCGTGCATCTGGACTGTACCCCGGCTCTTGTACAAATAAAATAAAAAATAAAAATAAGCGCCCTCCCACCCCCCCCAAAAAAAAAGCATTGTCACCAAAGGATGGATTCTTTTCTCTGGACTTTAAAATAAAACTTTTCAGAATTATTAAATAGAAAGGCTGCAGAGCAGAGAAAGCAACCTTTTAAAACAAAGTTCAAATCAGTAAGAATGAACATTTCCTAGCCTCTGTTTTCCTGTTAACCACTGAAGACAAGTACTAATTAGAGGAGCCTCGCATATCTGGCTTTCTCGGGTGTAGCACCTGGTGCTCAGGACACTGTGTGCTGCCAGGGAAAAGGTGGGTCTATCTCAGCTACCTTCCCTCCATCCTGATTTGTCTGAGGACACACAGACATGCTCATTGCCTTGCACTGAGGCCTTTTCTTGGTTCTTCATTCTGTTTTCCCACTTCTGATTTCAGGTGCGTGTCTGCTGTAGTGAGTGCTATAGTAGCGTTACCTTTTCCTTAGCAAACCCAGTTTGTCTGTCTCTTTTCAGATTTCTTTGACACTAGGGTGTCACCTGAACTCACTGGACTTTCCCCTCACATTGTTTCTTTTGTACTTCTCTTTCTCAAGATCACACAGGAGTGCACCAAAGCCTTCATTCCTTGCAAGAGCCAGCCTGGAGATAGTTCTGCCGCTTCCGTTTTGGTTTTTTTTTTTTAAACTTTTCGCAGATTGTCTGCAAACATATGTTGTCTTCTTTTGGTTTGTATTTCAAATATTTCCTTCCTTTGCCATTAACTCTGCAAACTAACTCTAGGAAAGCTTTGATTTTTGTATAGAAATTTTCAATACTGTTGAGTGTTGATATTGTTTTGACAATTGCTGCACATGCATTTTCAACAATATGAAAATCATTCATATTAGGATGACAAAGTGTGGAACTGATTACGTTTCACCAGATTCCTGCATTTCATCAGAGTTGCTTTACCAGGACATGTTCTTTCAGTCTGTTGTGAAAGCCAGGATGCATTTGCCCTTAGTAAAGAAATTTTCTCTTAATTTGGTGCTTCCTCCTGGTGGAATTAGAATTAAATAGTGATTGGTTACTATCAATATTTCTGGCTTCAGTGAGAAGTGTAATTTTTTTTCCTCATTATGCTTCTTGCCCTTGCTGAAGGATGAAGCAGGGAGACCAATTAGGAATTAGGAAGCTGCTACAATATCTCAAGCAAGAGATAATGAATGTTTGGAACACCATTTAGCATGGAGAATAACACACATTATTATTTTTAAAAACATAGGCAAAAAAAGCTTTCCTTAATTTGTTTCAACACATTGGAAATGCTTTTAGAGTTTAGAAGCCACAGTTTTGCTTAAGTGTCTCTGTTTTCTTTCTTATCATGCCTTTCTGGTACATATCTAACTAAGGAATTTGTCACATCTTCCACTTAGGTATTTCATAGTTTTGGAAACTATTGCCTTTTTAAAAAATTATATTTGCAATTTGTAAAAAAGTAAAAGGGAAACAAAAAAAGACCTTAACCAGAGGTAATAGTTACTAGCATTTCAATTTATTTCCTTTCAGTGTAAGGAGGGAATGAGCCCTTGTGGCTCCAGCCACTAGGAAGGTGGCAGTAGTGCATCTGCTCCTAGTCTGTAGGGGCCTCCTTTTCCCCTTGACACCACCCTTAGATAAGATGTACAGAGCAGGGCCTCCCTTGTGGCACAAGGGGTTAAGCTGCAACCTATGAAGCTATCCTCAGCCACTGCCGCATGAGTTCGATCCCCAGGCAGGGAGCTACCCACATGGCGCAGCAGACCTCTCCTGACTCGCCTGCTGCTCCCCTCAACAGTGTATTTCAGTCAGCCTGTCTGTGCTGTTCCCCACTCTGTCTCTGGTGAATCCTTTCACACCCCCCCAACTCCCCACACCTCTGGCCTGTACCCTGGTTCTTGTATGCATAAATAAATAAATCTTTTTAAAAAAAAAGACACACAGAGCACAGGGGGCTTGGGAGGGAAAGGCAGAGGGCAATGGTGGTGAGCACCTCGTCGCTCTCATCTCCTTCTCAGGTGGATGTAGGTATGAGTCTCTGCCCATGGTGTCATCCTGGACTCCCACATATTTACCCATCCTCCTGTGGATTTATTGTTTGATTGTGGTCATGACCCTTCTGTTTATCAAAGACTACAGCTTTTATCCAATATGCCCTGTTATCTTGCAGCTTTTTGGAACAGTACACAATAACTAAAATGACTCTTATAATCCCTCATATTCTTTTGTTGTGGGAAGACCATGGTGTGGGCATTCATAGCATCTGAGGACTGCTTAACCTTGAAAGCTTTTGGAGAGTTCAGTTGGTAGTTTCAAGACAAGGCATATATTATGCTTAGAATAATCAGAATCTCTAAGATAATGGTTTTTGCTGGTATCAGAATGATAATTTTTGCGTACAGCAAGGTTTAATTGAGTTTTTCTAGTCCTTCACTTGATACCAGTTCCTTAATAATGCATTGATGCTTCTGAGTGTTATTTTATGTTTTTTTTAAAAAGCTATTTTTTTGGTCCTTTTTTGAAAGAAATTCTAAAATAGGCTAATTTGGGGACATTTCATATTAATATAAGATTCCCTTTTGCTCTGTGAATGGCCTTATTCTAATTGCATTGAGCATTTCTAGTTATTATTTAATATTAGCTTTCTGAAATTTCCATATTGGAATTAATAATCTGTCTTCAAGTAAAATTATTTCAGTGATTGCAATTCTGTCACCATGTACAAAGCTAACAACAGAAATAATTAAAAATGGTTACAAATAACATTTGTATCTATATTTAAAAAGCTCTTCAATTGCCCAAGCAGATGTTGTTACAGATTTTTGTCTTTGATATGATAAATTTACCAATAATTTTGAAAATCTGTGCTTAAGGAATGTGCTTTCAAGTTTTGCATAGTTGAGCTGCACTTTGTGAAAGTTCAAGCAGCTGTACTGACAAACCACTTGACCATTTGTAACTGAGACTGTTTTAGACACAGACCAAGTTCTGGGGCTTTATGTTCTGTATTTTATGTTCAGAAACATGTACTTGAATTTCTTATTTTGATGTCCAAAAGTGTGTGATATATTATACACACACACACACACACACACACACATGCAAACACACACACATTCTCTCATATGTAGGTGTGTATGTGTAAGTATATACATATATACTCATATCCTCCTCTTTTGTGTATGTATATATTTTTATATTCTATATTCAACCTAAGTTGGAGGTGAAGATGTATTTACTTTGCCTTTTAATTAAAAAATTCAGTTTAAGCTTTCACTATTTAATTTAAAAAAATTTTTGTTTTTGCCTAGGTTGAAGAAATTGTGGATGTTGGATCATTTGCCCCAGAAGACATCCATATTCCTAAGATTTATGTACATCGCCTTATAAAGGGAGAAAAATATGAGAAAAGAATTGAGGTAACTGACCTAGCTTTTTCATTGTTTATAGATCTGATTATCAATGACACATGTCACTGTGACCACTTCAGGTGACAGGGAATTAGAGCTGAATATGAAGTCTTGCTTTGGATCTTAGTAGGAGCTTTTCAAGTGTCCATTGTGAGGGGATGTGACCAACTGCCTAACTGTGTAGCCCAGCAGTGCTTTGTGTTCACAGGATGTACATCCCCAGGTTAAATGATTCCTTAGACTTCTAGGCTTGTATAACTGTCTTAATTTATGATGCATTATTTTGGCTGACTCAGTGGAGAAAGGTTATTGGGTCTTTGGTAGCTTTGCCCCTGCCAGGCTCTTGATGTGATTGTACAGAAATGTCTATCTATCTTGAAGTTGCTTTGCGCTTTACAGAGAACATCATTTCCCATTAGTGATGGGTGCTGGGCAGCTGGTAGTTATAAAATCATGGCTCAAAGTGGCTATTATGAGCATTGCAGATATACCAAAGCTACTGAGAACCTTGGAGAAAGACTTGCTAGGACACAATTGTTATGCAGATTCAAGTCTCCAGCAATCAGCAACAAAATATACATGCCCTAGGAGCTATCGGAATCAGAGGTGCTCTCTACCCTGTGGACATAAAATAGACATTCTGCAATCTAAAAGTGGCATCAGGAGCTAGGGAGAAAGAATGGGACATTTACAAACAGGAACCAGAGTCTGTATCAAGAAGATTTAGCAATGAAAATTGTTTCCTGACTGGTTTCTGGATATTTCTTTGATTCCCTGTGATGCACTTGTAGCAAACCAGTCTAGACTCTGCAGGTGGAAATAAGCAATTGGCAGCAACAACACTTGGTAAACACCTCCTGACAGGCCTGCAAAAACAGATCCCAAGGTCTATCCCTTTTTCTTTGTTCTGGCTTCTCCCTGAGCACCTGATGAGATTCAGTTGTAGGTGTCTTAAGGATAAAAGTGGTAGCAGTCAAGGTGACAGTAACAGAGCGATTATTTATTTCAAAGAGACAGGAAAAGTATGTCTTCCTCTTCAAATCTGATCGCTTTTACTTACTTTCTAGAAAATAAAATCTGTCATCAAATGTTACCCATGTTATTATTTTTTAAAATTCTGTTTTATAATTGCAGATTTGCCTCATAGTAGTTACAGGAGAGATTATTTTTTTTGTGGTAAAAGCATGTATTTTCAGCAGTGATAAAAAATAGAAGGTACATCACAATCATGAATAATTTATTTCTGTTTACTTTAAAGCGTTTATCAGTCCGGAAAGCAGGGGACGAGGTGAAAGCCAAGTCTGGCAAACCCGGTGACAGCGTGAGGGAGCGCATCATCAAGCGGGCGGCTCTAGAATTTGAGGACGGCATGTTCGGTATCCTTGGTCTTCCCGGGACGGGAAGAGACGTTTTCACTTTTCCCAGGTTTTTAGGCCTCCTGTAGCGTGATCGTTCTCTAGCCTATTGCAACTTTTTAAAATTATTTATTTATGCATACATGAACTGGGGTACAGGCCTGATGTGTGTGTGGGCGGGGGTTAAGAGGATTCACCAGAGATAGAGTGGGGAACAGAACAGGCAGATTGACTGAAATACACTGTTGAGGGGAGCAGCGGGTGAGCCAGGAGAGGTCTGCTGCGTCATGTGAGTCACCTCCCTGGCTGGGGATTGAACTCATGCTGCAGTGGCTGCAGATAGCTTCACAGGTTGCATCTTAACCCCTTGTGCTACCAGGGAGGCCCCCTATTGTAACTTTTAAAGTAGTCCATCAAGTATTACAAAATATGGCGTATATCTTAAAGATACCAAGATATATAAAACTGGAGTATAATCTGTAATCTTGAAACTGGATGGTCATCAAAACTTTGCTTAGCTATTTTGTAATATACCATGGATTTCAGTACAATCTGGCATTTGACTGGGGGTTGTTGGGAAAAGAGCTTACCCCAAATGAGGATTTCAGCTCTCCCAAGTACTAGTTATATAACCAGTACTATTTACTTTCTCTCTATCCTGATATTTGCATACTCATTGAAACATCAGATCCAACTTCTTAACAACCCCATGTTTCCCTTGACAAAAGTCCCACGAGTGTACCCTTTCATATCTGATGCTTTGCAATGGTATTCAATGACTGATTCAAAATCTGCCTTAGATTCTTTGTCAGAAAAGAGGTAGGTAGAGATAAATTAGTACTAATAGTGCCTGAGTTTTCAATGAATTCAAATCACAGGGAGTCTGTTCATCAGTTTGCTACAAACTATTTAACTATATAAGACAAATAATACATATCAGTACAAATTATGCAAATTAAATGTTGCTGCTTGAATACAGTAAAGGAATAGCTCAAGGTATAGGACAGGAGGACTTGAAACATGACAGGTGTACTCATTCTGTGAGCTTCTCCTAGTCCATGAAGATAGTCTTATTGACTGATAGCAACGAAGAGAGCTCTCCTTTTCTGTTTTCTTTTGACCTCTGCCATATCATTTTTCTTTTTTCCCAGTTTGTGCTTTGTGTTACATGGAGAATTCACTTAGGGAGAGATTATAGTAGTGCCTCCTCTTCACCTCTGTAATCAGTGAACTGTAGAGTCCGCTAAATGGAAGTGGGCAGGTGGAAGTTGGCCAATGAGTTTTTTCTTCATCGCCAGCCAGTTGGTTTATCACTGATATTTAAATATTGACTGTATGATATCACTGATTTTGGATGATAATGGCTTATAGGTGTTTTTTTATTCACCGTAGTGTATTGTATATGGAAAGTATTTGTAAGTCAGCTCATATCAATTGCTTTTCCATATCACCCACTTTTTCAATTCAAAGCATGTAAACTTTTCTTTCCTTGGCATGTGGCTCAGTAGAAAGTTAAAAGAATGGAGAAAATGATGGAATGTGATGAAATAATTATGGTATAGGCTTGTAATTTGGGTGGCCTTGCCCTAAAGTACCTGCTCATAATAGAATCAGTATGTTCTTTATGTCACAGTGAAAAGTGAAATTCAAGTGACACTATATTGTGCTCCATTGTGATCTGGTAGGAGTTGAACCAAGTAGCTGTCGTTTGCTGCATCATAGTCTTACTGAATCCACAAGAAGTGACCTGGTCCATTGAGTTTCCTGCTGGCCTTTTTGTCTGCAGTATGGCAGCATTATACAAACTATTTTTTCTGGCCTTGATTCATAAAGATCTCACTGTTAATACAATGTTATCAGAGTACCACCTTTCTCTTCACCTTCCGGTATCTTTGTGGGAAAGCATTTTAATGTTACTGAAAAAGCTGTGATTAATTAGAGATCTTAAAAAAAACTTACAAAGTGTGTCTAAAGGGTAATCAAATAATGTATTTTGTGATTATATTTAGGTCAAGTGCCTTCAAAGAAGGCTTCTGTTCAGACTTACATATATAGGTTTATGGTTTATGACATAATCTCTCTACCTTCTACATGCTGGACCTTAACATCTTTTTTCCAGCTAACTTGGGCATAGGAATCCCGCTTCTGGCCAGTAACTTCATTAGTCCAAATTTGACTGTCCATCTGCAGAGTGAAAATGGAGTCCTGGGTTTGGTAAGATGGAAATTTAAGTTTTATTTATCCACTGTATTTCATATAGTGAAATCTTCCTGTAACTAAGAGTTGTTAACTTAAAGTTCCCAACCTTATTTTTCTCTTTTTATTATCATAATGAAATATTTAACTTCCATAAAGTGTTGGTAATTGTGCGCTTGTAGTGTTATATTTTTGACCTGTACTTTTAATAGCTTTTAAACTTTGGTGATGTTTAGATAATAGTTTTCATTTGCCCAATCACAGTTGTTTGTGGAAAAGATTGTCAATATGAGAAATGGAGTCATGAAAACATCAAATACTCTTTTAAAGTTCATTTCCAGCCTTTTGATTATAATTTCCTAGAATTTTTGGAGAAATTGTTGATATTACAGTTTTAGTGTGTGATTCAGTGAGAAACTTCTTTTACTAACTAGACAGTTGCTTTATTTCACAGGGTCCATATCCATTACAAGATGAAGTTGATGCAGATCTAATCAACGCAGGTAGACTCACTTATTATGTACTTCCCCAAAGTTCTTCTTTGCTGTTAAGTTAGTTCTATGCTAAATAATAGTAAGGGGGGGGGCACTTAATTCTATGTCTCTTCCTGCAGAGTGTGCCACTGTATTGTTTGTTGAGGAGGAGAGAAGAGCCTACTTAGTCCCTACCTTGCCTGACTTGCTTGTCAGGGATCTCCTCTTATTTAACACAGAGTAAGATAAAGGAAAAATTGCAGGTGGATGTGTGTATTATGTCATCAAGAGCTTTGGTGGGTCAGTCAGGTTTCTGGCTATAAGTAGAGAGCATCTCAAATGGGGGAAATGAGATGAATGGAGGAAGAGACAAGGGGGATGGACGACAGTTACTATAACACACAGGGCTTATGGGGCAGTGGTAGAAAACTGTAACCTGCAGGACGAAGGAACTGTAACCTGCAGGACGAAGCTGGTATAGGGACATGGCCATCGTGCAGCACCTTAGTGAGGGTGAGGCGGGGTCTCCTGCTGCATCCTTTGGCCAATTCCAGCATTGAAAAGGGTCTTCTTCTCAGGACAAGAAGGCTGGGAAGGGATCCCCAGGGGCAAAAAGAAAAGATCCAGTGCACTAGGTTTCTTGTTATAGGAGTTGCTTACTGTCGTCTGTCTTCATTGGAGTGGGTAAATAATCTCCAAAGGGTATGCTGTGCCCCCAAGTACTGCTCAGTGAAGTGAGTGATAAATCCAGTTTCTTTGAAGAGTGCACTTTACCCTTGTCTTCTTTGTTATTGCATTCGGGTGCTTTACCTTTTATTATTAGGCTTTTTTTTGAAAAAGATTTTTTTATTTATACATACAGGAACTGAGGTACAGGCCAGAGTTGTGGGGGGTGAGAGGATTCACCGGAGACAGAGCAGGTAACAGAACAGGCAGACTGACTGAACTACACTGCTGATGGGAGCAGCGAGCGAGTCAGGAGAGGTCTGCTGTGCCGTGTGGGTAGCTCCCTGGCTGGCCGGGGATCAAACTTGTGCTGCAGTGGCTGCGGATGGCTTCATAGGTTGCGTCTTAACCCCTTGCACCACCAGGGAGGCCCTTATTATTAGGCTTTTTTTAACTGGGACATAGGGTCGCATGTAGCAACCTAGAGGAGCAAACGCAGGTGAGACCTTTTGGCCTTCCTTACTGCGAAGCTCAAAGCAATCCAGTCTCTATGTAGGGGCAAAGGTTATCTTATAATGGGGCTGCCTGAAAGAAGCTAATTTTGTTCTAGCTTAATTTCCTCCAACCTTCTTTTATTCCTATTCACTCTACCCCCACAAAAGTATTCTTACTTCACATTCAAAAATAGTATGTGTAAATCTCAGAAGAGAAGCAATATGAGCCAAACATAAAGGCCAGCTGCCAAGTAGAATTGCTGTTTGATACTTAGAATTTTTGGAAGTAAAACAGCTTCTAGTTGAATAGTTGAATTAGTTAACACAACTCAACTCTGAGAGGCCCACTGTGATAAAGCAGTGACATTTAACCAAGGCTGTAATTTAATTGTGCTGTACCCTTGAGCAATAGCTCATTGATCTGTGAAAATATTTGCTGCTTGGTTTAATTAATTTATGATGTTAAGTTATTTGCAAAATGAATAACTTCATTTTCCAAATTTGAGCATTGGATTCATGCGTCACTTTTTTAAAAAAAGATTTATTTATGCATATGAGAACTGGGGTGCAGGCCAGAGGTGCAGGGGGTGAGAGGATTCACCAGACACAGAGTGGGGAACAGAACAGGTGGATTGACTGAAATACACTGCTGAGGGGAGAAGCGGGTGAGACAGGTGAGGTCTGCTGTACTATGTGGGTAGCTCCCTGGTCAGGGATTGAACTGCAGTGGCTGCACATAGCTTCACAGTGCTGACACATAAACCCTTGTGCCATCAGGAAGGCCCAATGAACCCACTTTTATTGGAAAAGCAACCATTCTTTTCAGTGACATTGTGAATGGTAGGTATTTTGAGTCCGTGGAGCTTAAAGGTAGCTCAGTCCTAATGAAGCTACCAGCTTTATACTTCAATTTGTGAAATAACACCTATAATCTTAAAGAATTTTTTAAAAATGTATTTATTTTCTTACAACATTTCTTACAACATTTTCTTACAACATTGTTCATTTTTGTATAATATTTGATTTCTCCTCTAAGGTGTACTGCCTGTAGTTCTCCCACCACCATAGCACCCATTATCTGTCACCACAGGCCCTTGTGCTCTTCCCTCCATTGTTTTGACCACTCTCCCTCCCCCATCCCTGCTGTATGCCTCAGATCTATGGTCAGCTTGTAAGTTTTGTTTTTTTCCTGACCCTTTGTTCAGTTTCCTTATATTCCACTTAGAAGTGAAGTCACTAGATATTTCTTTTTCCTTCTTATTTACTTCACTTAGCATAATCCCTTCCAGCTCCATCTATGTTGCTGCAAATGGCATGAGTTTATCTTTTTTGATTGCTGAGAAGTATTCCATTGTATGTATGTTTGTATACATATGTATGTGTGTCTATACATACACACACACATACCCCACACGCACATCTTCTTGATCCATTCATAAGTTTTGGGGGAAGTTAGGTTTTTCCATAACTTGGCTATTGTAAATAGTGCTGTAGTAAACATAGGCATGCAGGTTTCCTTTCAAATTAGTGTTTTTATATCCTTTAGGTAGATTCCTGTATTGGAATCACTGGGTCATATGCGAGATCCATTTTTCATGTTTTGAGGAACCTCTATACAACTTTCCAAAGTGGTTGGACCGGTTTGCATTCCCACCAGCAATGTAAGAGGGTTCCTTTTCTCCACATCCTCACCAGCATATGTTGTTTCCAGTTTTTTTAATACGAACCGTTCTCACTAGTGTGGGGTGGTATCTCATTGTGGTTTTGATTTGCATCTCCCTAATGATAAATGATGTTGAACATATTTTCTTATGCCTGTGGGCCACTTGCATTTCCCCTTTGGTGAAGTGTCTTTTTAGCTCTTCTGCCCACGTTTTGACTTGGGTGTTTTTGTTAAATCATGTGAGCTCTTTGTAGATTTTTGAAATCAGTCCCTTATCAGTTGTATGGAGTGCAAATGTTTTCTCCCAGTCAGTAGGAGGTCTCTCCATTTTGGTTACTGTGTCTTTTACTGTATAGAAGCTTTTCACTTTGATGTAGTCCCCACTGTTTATCTTCCCCTTTGTTTCCTTGCTTCCGGAGATGAGTCACCAAGGGTGTTACTGAGGTATATGTGCTGGAGTGTTTTGCCTGTGTTTTCTTCCACATAATTTATGGTTTCAGGCCTTACATTCAAGTTTTTTTTTTTTTACCCATTTTGAGTTGGTTTTTGTGTATGGCTTGAGATAGTAGTCTAGTTTCATTCTTTTGTGAGTGGTGGTCCAGTTTTACCAGTAACATCTATTGAAGCGACTCTCTTTGTTCCAGTGTATACTCTTTGCTCCTTTGTCATAGATTAGGTGACCATATATGTGTGGTTTTATTTCTGGGCTTTCACTTCGGTTCCATTGTTCCGTGTGTCTGTTTTTGTTCTGTTACTGTATTGGTTTTTTGTAGTATAGGTTGAGGTCTGAGAGTGTAACACCTCCTTTCTTCCCCATTTTGTTAGGAGAGCTTTGGATGTTCAACGCTTTTTAAAATAAGAATGTTTTAGTTATGACTAGTCAAGCTGAAAATCAAATGAATAATTCTATAACTCTTTCACCAAAGTCCTCTTTAGGATTTATGACACTTTAGCTTTTAGAGTTGTAAATTGGGGAGAAATTCTGTGAGCGAGAGAGCCTAGAATTAACATTAGTGCTTTCTGTGACTCCCAACATTTGGAAGTTATCAGAATGATCAGCCCATTGTGTTAGTTGAAAGAATTTTGGCAAGAAATCCCCTGGAGTGAATAGAGAGTTACTATCTGGTTATAATTAGTGAACTTAAAAATTTTTAAATAATAGAATTATTCCTGAGTATCCATTTTTCCTAAATAATTGTCTCATATGGTTATGTAAAAATAAATTACCATCATTTGTACAGCACCCTATAGTTTACACATACTTTTCATATATATTATGCTATTTAGTCTCAAATGAAAACAGGAAACTCAGGCCCAGAAAAATGAGGTATAAGCTCAAGATCACATTGTGGTGGGTTGGACTTATGCATAGCTCCTGAGCCTGCCCCCTGCCTTCTCTACACACTGAGTTACACCCACCGATAACCTGAGTTTTTCAAAGGGGCGAAAGGCAGTGCCTAGAACATTTCAGAAGGCTCATAAAGATCTGGGCTCAAACCTACAGTGACCCAATGCCATTGTGAAATTTCTAACAAACGTCGTTTTAGCTTTCATAGTAATGTGCCTTTTGCATCCTTTTCTATTTCTTTTTCTTTTTTTTAAAGATTTATTTATTTACACAAGTACTGGGGTACAGACCAGAGGCGCAGGAGGGTGAGAGAATCCACCAGAGACAGAGCAGGGAGCAGAACAGGCAGAAGGACCGAAATATACTGCTGAGGGGAGCAGTGGGTGAGACAGGAGAGATCTGTCACACCATGTGGCAATCTCCCCAGCTGGGAATCGAACCAGCGCCGCAGAGGCTGCGGACAGCTTCACAGCGCTGCGCTCAACCCGCTGTGCCACTGGGGAGGCCCCTTTTCTATTTTTTTTTAAAGATTTATTTATTTATGCATACAAGAACTGGGGTACAGGCCAGAGGTGCGGGGGGTGAGAGGATTCACCAGAGTGGGGAACAGAACAGGCAGACTGACTGAAACACACTGATGAGGGGAGCAGCGGACGAGTCAGGAGAGGTCTGTTGCTCCATGTGGGCTGCTCCCTGGCTGTCTGGGAATCCAACTCATGCTGCAGTGGCCATGGACTACTTCATAGGTTGCGTCTTAACCCTTGCGCCACCAGGGAGGCCCCCTTCTATTTTTTAATAACATTTTCTTATTTTGAATGACTTACCTTGGATTGAAACCTTGTCAATGTCATAACTTGTAACTTTCTCTGGCCCTTGCCTTGTGCCTGTAGAGCAGTGGCTTTCAATGGGCTGAAGCTCTCCCAGCTCAGAGTTTCCTGTAATGTGGTGACTGACACCCACTATGTGCTCTCAGACAGCAGAGGTTGTGCTGTGATTTAGCAGGCAGGGAACAAAAAGCTGAGATTTTTTTCTTCTTTTTTTTATCATGCAGATTCTTCCTCTTTGCATAGCCACCTCACAACACTTGTGAGGAGCTGGATTTGCTGGACACAGAACTTGTGTTAAGATAAGGTTCACTTGTATTATCCTTAACCTGAAGCTGGAGTTGCAGGCTGGCTGTATAATCCCATCACGGAACTAGCGCTTGTTCCTGTGGCATTTCCTTAGAGGGGCAACAGCATTGTCTCTTTTATAAGTAGGTTTGGAGTGAGGAATAATAACAATGACAACAATAAAAATTCATGTTTTGAGAGACCTTTCTCTGTGCCAGGCATTAGAATAAGGACTTTACATGCATTATTTCATTTAATCCTCCACATCTTATGTGCTGTCTAAAAAGCCCTACTAACCTTGTCAGAAAGAATTTTCCAAAGCTTTTCAGTGTTCCTGTAGTTTGAAAGATGTGAAAATGTTCCCTTTGTTTAGAATCAAACTCTTTAGGGGAGTAACTATTTCAGCATGATATAAATAGTCTTCTCTATACTCAAGCTCAAATGGAGGGGGATATTGGTGGGACGGTAGCCTTCAGGCAGGACTTGAGAAGCTGAGACTACAGCTGCAAGGCACAGGTGGGCTTGATCAGATCCCTTCGATGCTTCTGTGTCTGAGAGAGAGCTTCTCCTCCCTGCTTAGCTCCACCCTCCCTTGGGTGGGGCTGGGAACCTGGAACCTTCCTTTTTCTGGGGTCCACCCTGTTACATTATCACCATGCAAGGGCAAATTTGAACAATTTTCATGACCAAATGCTCCTCTTCACAGGGTGGGCAGTTCCCATTGTGTTCCCTGTACCCCCACTGGCATTGCATTTTGGTATAGGGAGTCTTTACTAAAAGGGAGTTTTAGTTACTAAGACTTTACTAAGGGAGTCTTAGTTCTTGAGGAAACAGAAGAGGTATGGACCGCTCTCTTTACCATGATACTCTTAGAACTCTAACAGCTTTCTCTTTCCTTTTCTTCCCTGTGTGTGTGTGCATGCATGTTTAGGCAAGGAAACAGTTACTGTTCTTCCAGGAGCCTCTTATTTCTCCAGTGATGAATCATTCGCCATGATTAGAGGGTATGTAATAACGGGCGCCTCGTGTTCCACGAGGTGTGGAATGAGCTGAGTCATCCCTGGAGTGTGTTAGCAAGACTCCAACACAGTCACGTTTCCCAGCCAGAAAACTCCCAGGGGTTGGTTTAGCTGTGCCAAGATGTGCAGTGATTCACCTAGGGTGTTGGGCTTTGCAAAGTCCAGCATGCTATTATTAGAAGAACCTTCAAACCATAATCTATATCTGAGCGCCAACTATACTGAAGTACACTTTCAAGGTTCCTCCTGAGGATCCTAACATTTTCTGTAAACCACGTATTAATATTCTAGCCAGAATCTGTCTTCAGAGTGAGCCACATTCTCCCTCACCAAAGGAAACAAGCTCACTGTCTGCACACACCTGTTTTTAATGTGTTTTTGAAAACAATATAGGCTATAATTTTTAAAGAGATTTCTTAATGGTTACTTCTCTACATCAGCTTGGATTTGTCTGGAAATCAGATGTGTGTGGGGGGGAGAAAACAAATGTATTTTGGAGATATAGAATTCTATATTTAAATTGCTGGCGATTTCAGCTAGTTGGGACATAAAGCTTGTACAATTTGCTTTAGATTTCCTCTTTCTTTTTCTCAGGGGACACGTTGACCTAACAATGCTGGGAGCGATGCAGGTGTCCAAGTATGGTGACCTGGCTAACTGGATGATACCTGTAAGTGACACGTGTCTTCTGAATCAAACGTGGGTCAGATTCATTATTTTGAATCACACTTTAACTAAGCAGTCACTAAGAAATACCCAGCATTGCTGCTTTCCTTGGTAGTTGGGGTGAAAAATAAGATCAGGTCAAAGCAGAATTTCCCATGGAGCAATAGACAGTTGGGAAGGTTAAAAAAAAAAGTAAAGGAGTCAATTGTATTATGATACAAGTTAGAAATACAAATATTTTTCATAACTAAAAGAATAATTAACATGCTCATTAATTTTAGGTTAATTGTATTATTTTCTTATTCACCCAAATAATTAAAATCCCTCCTTAATCAGTCATGTGACCCCACAAGTAATCAATCATTTTGTCTCTTATTGTAGAATATAGAGCTTATGGGGCTTAAACATGTTCCCATTGATCATGCTCAGTGAAATAAGTCAGAAAGAAAAATAAAAATACCGGATGGTCTCACTCATAGCAGGAATCTAGAAAACTTAAATAAAGGACCAGGAAAATGAATAACTATAAGAAAGTGAAAATCAAAATCAACAAACAACTATGAACCAGAGACACTCTATGGGGGGTAGGGGGCGGGGAGGGGAAGGATTGGGGTCAAAATAAGGGGGTTGCAATTGTATAGGGAATATAAAAATAAAATTAAAAAAAATGAGGAGAAACCAAAAACAAACAAACAAACAAACAAAACATGTTCCCATTTACATATGACTTGAATCAAGGAAGAAACCTCTTTAATACTCAGCATTGGAAAAGGGATTGTAGTCAGTCAATGAGTTTATGAATGTGGTTCTTAAGGTCCCAGTTTGTTGCTTTCTGAAATGTGTACCGAAACCACACTGAATGCTTGTCTATGAACATGAACTCATTTTGTCTAGTAACTCAGGTTAGTCAGTGTGTCCCTATGGCACTAGGTAAAAGGAATTTGATTCAGTAACAGGTTGGTGTTCAATGATTTGACAGTAGTATTTTTAAAAAACACATTTTTAGAACCTTTAGATTTTTTCCCCATTAATTTTGTGAGGAGGTAGATTAATAGGTGGTTGTTAATAATATTAGAAAGAATGTTAGTTTTTTTCTTTCACTCCAATACCTTCTGAAATAATATTTAAAAGGCCTGGTTCTCAAAGTTGCCTGCATATTGGAATCACCTAGGAGTTACAACTTGATATCTGGGACCTCGGTTACAGAGTTCCCAATTTAATTCATCTGGGATGTGGTCTGGGCAATGGGCATTTTGAAAACAAGCCTGGTGATTACAATATATAATCGAGTTGGAGAACTAGTATTAAAGAATGATTGATCATAAATCAAATTTAGAATGTAAGAGGAAATATCGTTAACCCATTCAAAGAAAGAACTGTTAGAAAATTATGGATTGTATTATTTTAGTTTTAAAATGTCTATCATTCTAAATTTGCCGTAGTTGTGAGAGTTGGGAGCTCATGAAGTTCGAGAAATCAAAGAGTGTTTCCTGAGCATGGAGCATGGTGCAGAGTCAGGGCAACAGTTTATGGGAATACTTATTTATGTAGAATTCAGCATGTTTTTCTATTCAAATCTCTGAGGAAAGGACTTATGGAATAGTAGAAGGAGCATGGAAAGCAAGCCTTGGGTTTTAGCCCTGACTCAACCAGTCATCAAGATGTGACCTTGAACATGGTACTTATGCTCTTGGGTCAAAGCATGCTCATCTAAAAGCAGAGGGTCTGAGACCAGATGATTTCAGGGGTCCCATCTGGCTTTCATAGGTATGTCTCAGAGACATACCTGAATTGAAATGCTTTTCGTCACTTTGTGGAGCCTATGTCTCCTCATCTGTAAAATGGCAGTGATATAATTGTACCAATTTTATAGGTGCACAGAGCTTGTCATGTAGTAAATGCTATGAAACTGTGTTATTATTTGATAAGTTAAGAAGGAGAAGTTGGGGATATTATGTGAATGACTAAACTATCAGTGTATTTTATTTTATAGTTTCTTTAAACAGTTTGAAACTCATGAGTTTCCAAAGGAATGGACCTAGTGGGGCAGCAGTGGGCAACTCTGGAGTTTGGAAGAAACACTGAGAAAAATTAAGCATCAAAAGTGTTTATATGTTTGGATCCCCTATTTTTGTACTGGAAGTTGGTAGTGTCATTTTGAATTTGCACATCTTTGTTCCTTTAGTACTGATAATCACTTCCAGACTTCTTCCTATATGATTCACTGTGTGTGTTTTGATTCATTTGGATGCAGGATACTTGAGCGTCAAGACCGTGAGCTTTAGTTTGGAAGACCTCCAATTTGCATTTCAGCTCTACCCCTTATAAATTATACAATCTGGAGTACATATTTTTGTTAGGATTAAGTGAGAAGAAAATGAATAGTGAATACTAAAAGCACTCCATAAATAGTGGCTAATATTTTTATCTTCTTCAGTGCTCTGTTGCCTAACATTAAAGAGGTAATATCTGTCTTAAAATACACTGGCATAAGCAAGACTAAATCTCACAGTAAATAACATAACCTATTTATTCTGTTTGTGTTCAGGTACCAAAAATTAAACCCTTTGAGAGCACACTTCTTGCTCTCACTGGCTGTAGATAAGATACAGCCTTGCCTCCTTATTATATACTTTTAGTGTGTGTTCTATTTCTATTTGTCTCAAAGATTTATGTTGATTTATAAAGTTTGGGATATATTTTTATTACAATATTTGGCAGCCAAGAAGCTGAAAAGTTCAGATTTATTGTATCATTTTTCATTTACTTTTATCTTTTTACTGAGTTTAATAATCTTTCAGTGGTTGTAAAGTCTTGAGTTTCTCTGCATCGTGGCATCCCATCAATCAATACAATGTCAGATTATAATAAACATTAAGCTTTTAAGGCAGACAAATAGTGTGGATGCTATTTGTCTTATCCTTTAATAGCTTCTTAGTATGCAGCATAGATCCTATGCACAGATTTTTAAAAATTCTGCCCTGAACTTTTGAAGAAGGAAAATTGACAGTCTTTGGCCCCTTTGCATTCCTGGTTATGGTGGAGATGGTAAAGGCGCAGGTGAGCTGCGGAAATGTGGACAGAAATGCTGGCTGTTGAATCTGCATTCAAGACTGCTCTGGCCTCCTAGTGGCTATTTTTGGAGAACAGCTGCCATAGATTATGGACTTTGAGGGAAAGCAGACGTGTATGCGTATGATTAGCTACGGGAGCTGGCTGTTGAATGCGTGCAACGTGCTTTCAGGGCCTGTTGGGCAGGGCTGCCGTCCCTGAGGAACCCACGGTCAAGGGCCCTCTCCTTTGACGCGGGGAGGATTGAAACACGAGGTGCTATTAAGGCAAAGAAGAATAGAAATGTGAGCTGTTCTCAGGCTTGGCCTGAGCAGGTTGCTAACACTTCCTAGTTCCTCTTTCCTTGACTCTGGATGACTGCCTTCCACACCTGTGCACCTCACTGCTTTGCCAAAGACTCCGGTGAACCCTTTGCAAATCTCCTTAGCCTCTCTGTGTAGTGACTTCTGATTTTTTAAGATATCAAGTCAAATTCTGGTATTCTAGTTCAGTTGGCTCTCTGAGACCCACAAGACCCCTGGAATCCACCTGGGATCCCTCCCTGCCCTGCAGCCTGTGAGCTCTTTAGGCAGTCAGTGAGCCCACTCCATGGGCTGCTTTTCTCGCAGAGATCAGAGTCCTGTGCAGCCCTGCGCTGCCTTTTGTCTAATGGCTCAAAGCTACGCTTTGCTGTATTTTGTCTGATTCTCTACCTGCTTATTACCACTATATTTTTGAAGCTATGTCTTCATAGATTTCTTGGGTGATTTTCTTAGTATAACTCCCTAGAAATAGAATATGTTGCTCAGTTGTTTTTTTTTTTTTTTACAGGATTTATTTTTTTATACATACAAGAGCTGGGGTACAGGCCAGAGGTGCATGGGAGTGAGAGGATTCATCAGAGACAGAGTGGGGGGCAGAACAGGCAGACTGACTGAAATATACTGCTGAGGGGAGCAGCAGGTGAGAAAGGAGAGGTCTGCTGTGCCATGTGGGTCACCTTCCTGGCTAGGGATTCAACTCCTGCTGCAGTGGCTGCGAATAGCCTCATAGTGCTGAGACTTACCCCCTTGCACCACCAGGGAGGCCCCTGTTGTTCAGTTTTTTAAGGTTTTTGATATATATTGAATTACTGTCCAGAAAAATTACCTCAGTTCACACTCACACTATTTCTATTCTGTTACTAACACTGGTATCAGCCTTTTTTCTTGTCTATTACTTTATTGTATTATTGTGTGTGTGTGTGTGTGTGTGTGTGTGAGAGAGAGAGAGAGAGAGAGAGAGAGAGAGAGAGAGAGTGTTTTCTATATCCAATATGTTGTAAAAAGCCTCACATGGGGGAATGAAATAAAAAACAGCATTTTTATCTGCTGTGCTGTCTTTAACTTTATTCAGTTAAGGAAGCTTTTTCTCTGCATGACATTGTAGCTCATTCTCAGGTAATGAGCTTTCATTAGGTCACTTTAATTCACAAAATCAATTTTAGTTCAGGAATTAAAGAGTCTAGTCCAAACTAGGAACAGGGCTTCCATATATAGGAGGAATGCAGAGGAACCAAATAGGCGAACCGGGGGGAAAAAGTAATTATAATAAATTAAAAATCAAAATCAACAGACAACTACAAATCAGAGACATTCTGCAGGGGAGGAGGAGGGAGAAGGATCAAAACAGGGGAGGGCAGAGCACAAGGGACTATGGTGCTGGTTCCCGGGGTGAATTGGTGGCGGGAATTTCATGGGGACTGCACCTGAGAGGAAAAGGCATACACTGTACAAAAATGAAGAATGATGTAAAAAAATATATAAAATAAAAAAATTAAAACAACAACAGCAACAACAACAAAATAACCCAAAACAATGTGTCGCTGAGCTCTCACTGCTGTACCCCGGCCACAGATGGGCAGGTCGCCTGCATTTGGGGATGGTTGTGTGCTGTTCTCCTGCTCTTTCTCTC